CCCAGGAAGTTAAAAAAGCCTGAAAAATAAGAATATTTTATCAATGCTGCTCAGAGAAATAATTCTTGCATACTAATTAGCAAAGATAAAATATACGTCCTAGTGTCAAAATTTCTTTCAAACTAATCAGCAAAGGATATATACCCAGTATCAAAATTTCTGTGGCTTCATAAATAATTTTTACTAATCAAAATGATTTGATAATGATGAGATGTTATATCTATCAGTCTCTACGTATAAAAGATGGCTCCTTATCCCTTTTGAATTTGAAGAACACACTGCTGGCTCAAAAAGGTCTGGCATTGCAAAAATTAGCATTTAAAGAGAGACTAAGCTCTGAATTCCATTTAAATCTTACTGAAAGTTAAAAGTGAGATTACACATTGAAGTTGCTTGTAATTTTCAAAATATAAACATCATACAAAGATGCTCTTTTAATCTTAAAAAATAATACTCAGACCACATATCAGATACTTTTGCCTCAATTATAGTAAGCCTGAGAATGAAAGAAACAGAAAAATAAAAAAATAATAATATTTTCTATGAAAAGCAACTTAAAACAGAGATATGAAAAACTTCACTTAGAAGTGAAAATCCAGATTATCATTTAGCCCAGACTACATCATGAAATAAAAGATATCTTCCATTGTTATATGAAAACATGATAACAAAAAATCTCATACTTCTCAAAATGGTAACTAGCCATAGTTTCACATATTTTCTATACAGAAATACATGAAATTTAAATAGACTAGGGCTGAAAATAATTCAATCAAACTACCTTTCGTGTGACACTCCATAGCAGAAGTAAACACTGGAAATTGCCTTCTGCCTACATAGAATACATTCCACAAAGGATAATAAAAAACACAATTACAACATAAAAGATGTCTCACATCATTATCCATTTCCGAAAGCTCCGTTAGACTTCTCTTGTATTCCTCCGACAACATCACAGCAGACGGAGAAGGCATTTTAAGGAAGTCTCCTTGATATTCTTATACCCTCTTAATATTCCTTCAGTGTAGTATGTTCTCTTCTCTTCCTTTATAGGGTTTTAGACCATATTAACGCCAATGCTCTGTAGTACGTGCTGAACAAGGGGCAGAAAAGTTGTGAATGAATCAGCTGATCATGTAAACAAACCGCCCACTCCCGTCGGGCATTAGGTACGGGTTGTCTAGTAGAGATCATATTATAGATTTATCTAATTCGTCGTTATCATTTTCATTGTTATTCAACAAGGGCATATCTACAGGTAATTTATTGACTAACACACCTGAACTGTAAATTTCAGATGTTCGGTCACTAACATTTATCAGTTTATCCATCGGTTAAGTTCTGCTTTATCTCCGTGTTACAAATCGTTATGAGTCTCGTAAATACATAGATTTATTTTACATAAGTAAGTTTCACGACGGTATTGACACAGTTTTGTAATGGCATGGGCAGATTCACAGAAATGTTCTGTAACAGTTAGCAAGAATAACTCATCGGGATATTTAATCATTTAATCATTAAAGAGGACATTTTGTGATAAACTCAACAGGTGTTTACTTTTTACTTACTCCAATTTACATCCAAATTTACTTGTATACTCATCATCATCTTCAATTGTCATCCTTATTATCAATGTTATCGTCATCACTGTCGTCATTATTGTTATTATTATTCAAATTGTGTATGTTATTACTATTTTATATTATCATTACATAATACTCGTAGGTACCATTATTCCTTTATTTTTGCGTGTAATCTGTATGTTTTTAAGATTACAATGCATTTTATTGGCGCGATATTTACGAATACAGCCACATAAAAAGTCATTGTTAAGAACTGATTTTGAAGAATTTAAGACCAAAGAAATCTACAGGCAAGAGATATAACTCAACAAAATTCTTATTAGAATTACATAACTCTGAATAAACTGTATTATCAACATATCTCTTATGTATATTACTTCGAGGAATTAGTCATTCTTCCTTCTCTATTGGTTACAGTGAACACCATTTATGAACTAACTGTAACGTAATTTGATTTTTGGTTTGATATTTCAGCGATGGCTCTCTCGCGCTTCAAGGACCTTTTCCAGTGTTCTAGAGCGGCTGTGATTGGCATGATCCATGTCAAGGCACTTCCGGGTAAGATGCTGCCTTTATATAAGAACTTTTTAATGTAGATGAATTATTTACTTGAGTTGAGGCCATGTTTGTTATATCAGCTTTTGTATTAATTGGTTATATGCCTATATCTGTACCTGTATATGTATCTGTCTGTGTATATAAATTTGTTTTTATTCATTCTTTTTCTTTTTCTTCTTGATCCTCCCATCTTTTATCTTTATCTTCTTCCTCATCTTCTCCTCCTTCTTCTCCTTCTCCTCTTTCTTCTCATTTTTTCTTTTTATTATTCTCTTTTGTTTCTTCTTCATCTATTTTTTTTCTTATTAGTTATTTTTATTTTGTTTTGTTTTATTTTTTATCATCATCATCCTTCTTCTTCTTCTTCTTCTTCTTCTTCTTCTTCTTCTTCTTCTTCTTCTTCTTCTTCTTCTTCTTCTTCTTCTTCTTCTTCTTCTTCTTCTTCTTCTTCTTCTTCTTCTTCTTCTTCTTCTTCTTCTCTTCTCTTCTCTTCTTCTTCTTCTTCTTCTTCTTCTTCTTCTTCTTCTTCTTCTTCTTCTTCTTCTTCTTCTTCTTCTTCTTTCTTCCTTCTTAAAGGTTGGACTAAACATTTCAGAGGATCAAATGCTAATATTCTTTTTAAGATGAGATTTGTGAAAATTACCTGAATTTGATAGTATAGACTAAAAGATATTGACAGTCATTTGAAATTGAGTTAGCTATTTGCTAAGTCTATCTGTCATTGAGAGTGGAGTGTATGTGTGTGTGTGTGTGTGTGGGAGGGGGGGGGTGAGTGTAGCATGTTTATGATGAGCTTATATATTGTAATTGTAAGTTAATGCTGGTTGATTAACTTTAGCTCATCATTCCTATCCTATTTCTGTTTTCTATGTGGATTACCAGGATTCTAGATTGGATACGAAATGGCCTTACCAATTACGTAAACAAAGATGTATGAATCCTTGTATGATTATATGCAAATTTGATGGGATTTCTTGTACTATGTTGACAGGAACGCCCTTGAATCGCCACGGAATTAATGAGCTGGTGGAGATGGCTCGTCAGGAAGCCTTTGCATACAAAGAGGCCGGTGTTGTAAGTCAATTATTTTTGTCACTTTCATTCAAAACTTGATTTTGTTGTTTTTCTATGTGAAGATTTTGATGTAATGATGACAGTTTATAGAGATTTTTTTTTTTTTTGTGTGTGTGTGTGTGTGTGTGTGTGTGTGTGTGTGTGTGTGTGTGTGTGTGTGTGTGTGTGTGTGTTTTAAGGGGGTTTACCAAATCTTGATTCAGGAATTTGTATTAGAATAACACTAATTGATATTTATACTCGCAGTTCACCATATAGATTAACTTAACAGGGTCTTTCCACTCAATTTTTCTTTACTAGTTTATTCTTTTAGGATGGTGTCCTGGTGGAAAATATGTTTGACATACCCTACCTCATGGGAGCATCGTTAGGGCCCGAAGTTGTAGCCACCATGACAAGGGTTTGCCAGGAGGTGCGCAGTATCATTCCCAAACGCATTCCTTGTGGCATTCAGGTATTTCTGCTTATATATTTTCTTGAAATTGTGTGGTTATGGGCTTTCATGTATACATTTTTATATATTGTTGATATTTTGTATAGTTACATGATTTAAACAAAATTCTTAACCTTTTTTTACATTTTATGAAACTATTTTAATTAAAGAAATGGCATTGATTACATTTAGTTAGTAAATCATAGTAACAATAATGCAGCATGATTCATATTATAATGCACTGTACTGTGCTCCTGTCAGGAGTAATCACCTCCTATAGATCCTTGCAGGAGGGAATAAGGAAGCTCTGGCTGTTGGGAAGGCTTGCGGACTCCAGTTCATCCGAGCAGAGTGCTTTGTATTCTCCCACGTGGCTGACGAAGGGCTCATGAATGCATGCGCTGGGCCTCTGCTAAGATACAGACGTTCCATTGGTGCTGAGGATGTTTTGGTTTTCACTGACATTAAGAAGAAGCACAGTTGGGACTGGTAGTTTACTTAGAAACAGCACAATATATTTATGCATTTATCTAATTTTCATTTTGTATTTGGACTTGATCTTTTGAAAAATTGAGTAGCTGCCGGGAATGTTTTTTGTGTTATTCCCTACCTGAAATACAGTAAAGCCTTATTTGTTTTGTTGCATTTCAGTGCACATTCCATAACAAGTGATGTTGGGATAGCAGACACAGCAGAAGCAGCCAAGTTCTTTCTTGCCGATGGTGTCATTCTTACTGGTTCTGCGACGGGACAGGAAGCTGATCACCGTCAGCTAGAAAGTAAGGAGTTATGATGAGGTGGTATTCTTATGTTGATTTCATTTGTTATGTGTTAGGACAGTTTGATATACATAAAGGTGTGAATCTGTAGGATTCTGTTGATTAGAAAGACAGATCTAGAATTGAATATTGACAAAACTATTTTGAAGGGCTATGGCATTCTTGAGTTTCTTTTATATATATGCCTTATTGCTGCACTTCCCCACTAATCTTACTAGAAGCATGACATTGATTACTATGTAAGTTAACCAACATGACAGCAGTAAATGAAAGCAGTAAACTTGTATACATGGATGGATTAATGAATAATGAAGCATTAGAAGGTTTACTAAAACACCTGTGACCTTATTGGTTATTGGTTAATTGTTTACTACATCAGATATTAGACTGCATAATAAATACACATAATTTATATCAAAGTCAAAGAAATAAGGGGTGTTAATGGTTATTATTACTTCTTATAACAGTTATAAAAAAATTTAAGCAGCAGTATGTATACATCATGGAATATATCAAATGTCACAGTTATGTTCAACATTATCTGTGTTTCTATAATGATTCCATATGTCATTT